TTGTCTCTCTCTTATCGAAATCCCTAACATTTCTCTCTCTATAAATACTTCACCAAAAGGAGCGAAGACTAAAGTGGAAGAGAAGAAAAGAGAAAAACAACGGAGAGAAAGCACTGAAACGATCCCTTCTCTCCGCTTTCTCTTCAATTCTCCGATCTGTGCAATCTATCAATCTTACAAAGGTACAATAGGATCACTTCGTTTTCTATTTCGTGTTTCAATTTTAGCTCTGTTTCTGCTGATCTGTTATTTATTTTCATGAATTTTGAAATTTTTGTACCTAATCAGCTGTCTTCGATCTTCGGAGCTGGTACTGCTACTCTTTTTTTCCATCTTGGTGTAATTTCGGGAGGATTTTCTTTTGTTTAATCGTAATTGATGTGTAGGACCACAGATCTCTTTGTGATTTTTAAATTTCTTTACAGATTATACAACCATGTCGTCTTTAAGCAGAGAACTTGTTTTCCTCATACTTCAATTCCTTGACGAAGAGAAATTCAAAGAGACCGTTAACAAGTATGTTTTTCTCTGTGGATCATATGTTCTGGTCTTTTTGTAATAAGCATACAAAATTTATAGAAGGGTGTATTTGGGTTTGTGTTGTTTCTTTGAAATGTTTTTATTTAATAGATTGGAGCAAGAATCGGGGTTTTTCTTCAACATGAGGCATTTTGAGGATATGGTGACAAATGGGGAATGGGATGAGGTGGAGAAGTATTTGTCAGGCTTCACAAAGGTTGATGATAACAGATATTCCATGAAGATATTCTTTGAGATTCGAAAACAGAAGTACCTTGAAGCTCTAGACAAGTAAACCTTCTGAAACTTGTTGAATTGAAGTTTCTGTAACAATATCATTTAGTTGTTAGCTTATCATTTTGTTCGTTTCACTCGCATTTTACTTTGCAGTAAATAGTGCCTTTAAATTTATTTGTTTGCTTAAAGAAAATAAAAAAAAAAATGTAGGCGGGATCGTGCCAAGGGGGTGGATATTTTAGTCAAGGACCTAAAGGTGTTTGCAGCATTTAATGAAGATCTATTTAAAGAAATAACACATTTGCTGACATTGGATAACTTCAGGTATAAACAATATTGTTTTTTGTTCTCCGTTGATGCTTCTGTCGTATTGCAGAATATATGAATTATGACCTTTCAGGCATGATAAATTTCTTTAAAGCACTACATTTTACCGGTCAATGTGAATGTGCAGAGAAAATGAGCAGCTATCAAAGTATGGAGATACCAAGTCTGCTAGGAGTATAATGCTTGCTGAACTAAAAAAATTAATAGAGGCCAACCCTCTTTTCCGTGATAAGCTTCAGTTTCCCACCTTGAAGAATTCAAGGCTACGGACGCTAATAAATCAGAGGTACTTAAGATTCTTTGATGTCTAGTTATTGGACCTGAGTCATTGCTTCCTTTTGTTGTTGTCCTCACATTTTTTTGGTTAAATTGCAGTTTAAATTGGCAGCATCAGCTTTGTAAGAATCCAAGGCCTAATCCTGACATAAAAACTTTATTTGTTGACCATAGTTGTGGACAGCCAAATGGTGCACGGGCTCCTTCCCCTGTTACTAATCCCTTGATGGGTGCTGTTCCTAAGGCAGGTGGATTCCCACCTTTGAGTGCTCATGGGGTAAGTGAAAAAGCAATATAGGTCGTAAGTAGCCGTGCTTTCTATGTGCTACAAAGTTCTATTTGACACTGGATTCATTTACTTACAGCCCTTTCAGCCTGCACCTGCTGCCCTTCCAACTTCTTTGGCTGGCTGGATGGCCAATCCAACTCCTGTGCCTCACCCCTCAGCTTCTGCAGGACCTATTGGGTTGACTGCAGCAAATAATGCTGGTAGTTCTTCTATAAATATATTCATTTTATTCAGATTTCTTTTATTTCTTCTTTCTCTAAGCTCCAAAAGACATGCTTTTGTTTTGAAGTCATATTTACTTGTTACAGATATATCTTGGATACATATCAAAGCCTTAGAAAATTTGTTAGTAATTTATTTGTCCTGTATAAGAACAGTAAGCACTGAGTTTGAGAAACTCTGGGAAGTGTGGGGAATTTAATGATAGCTATTTGCTCTTGTAGTCTTTTTACAGAAAAACTCAAGATATGAGCAGTTCTTCTGCTTTTCTTCTGAACTGTATGTCTTGGTTAGTGATTCCATTACTCTCTTTTTGCTCATCATGATAGCTGCTGTCTTAAAGGGACCTCGAACTCCACCCACCACTAACCCAACTATGGACTATCAAACAGCAGATTCTGAACATGTTTTGAGGAGATCAAGGCCCTTTGGGTTATCTGATGAGGTAATAACTGTAGATAGTATAATCTGCTCAGATTTATAATTGATTTAGTTGGTCCTATAGTCTTGTTTTCTATGTGATTAATTTGGATACTGACTCCTGTGTATCATCAACATGAATTTGAAGTGTCCCATGCGTACTGATTGAAGCTTTTGGATACTAACTCCTAACTCATGTGGTCAATGCAATCCAAAGGAATCTTGTCACCATATTTAAAGTTTACTTTGTATGTAATCAGTCTTTATATATATATATATATATATATATATATATATTATATAACTAATGTGAACCAAACTTCTATTTTAGCTCATTGTTACTTTAAGGATGACTTTGCAGTCAGAAATATCAGAGCATGTTGATGGAAAAACATAATTGTGATGAAAATTCAGTTAAGTAGATTGACAGCTGTGTCATACTAGTAGGGAGAAATTTTGAGAAGAGTGCGATAGATTCAAGATGGAGTGGCTTGTGACATGCTGCTGTTATATTTAGAAAACTTATATCTTGGGTTTGGTCAACTTTGAGGACTACTGTATTTGAAGCTAATAAAGGAGCATAAGATCGAGAAACTTCTAAAATGCCTCTTCCTATCTGTAAAAGGTTATCTCTCTCTTTTTTTTTTTGTTCAATAAAATATTTAGAGGAACCAGTGGATTTGAATCTAATAAAGCAGGTTAGCAGGAGTGTTAAGTTTTATCAACTTGTAATCTGTTTCTAGTCTCTTCCTATTATTGAAAACTTAATTGTATTTGAAGAGAAATAAGAAATGGGCAACTGATATTATTTATAAGTTGATGCTCGTGCTTGTCTGGTCTCTTCAATTAAATGGCTTTGGCTTTCTGGTTTCAGTAGAGAACATGAGATCTTATCTTGTAGCATGGCATCTTCCTGCTGCCTTTGCTCTGAAGGGTATTTTCAAGTGATAAATACTTGACAACTTGTAATTTTCCAGGTCAATAATCTGCCAGTGAATATTTTACCAATTGCATACCCCAGCCAGACTCATGGTCAAAGTTCTCATCCTTCTGATGACTTGCCGAAGAATGTTGTTATGAATCTAAGCCTGGGCTCAGCTGTCAAGAGCATGGATTTCCATCAGATACAACAAATTCTACTTCTTGGTGAGCCTTGACTGGCACAAGGAACAAAAGTTTTCATGCCTGCTTAGAGTTCATTTTGTGTAAATTCAGTAGGTTTTTCAGAGGCTGGATTTAGCTTTGCTTATCAACCCCCTACTTTTTTTTCTTACTTTAATCTATTTTTTTTATATACACAATTCCAGTTGGAACAAACATTGGAGATGTCATGGTATGGGATTTAGGCAGCCATGAAAGGGTAGCACATAAGAGTTTTAAGGTCTGGGACCTTTCATCATGTTCAATGCCTCTGCAGGTTTGATTTTCAAGTTTCAACTCTGATGAGATTTGTTGGACATGGATTATTTTTTCAGTGCTTTCTGTAGTTTAGCTTTAACATTTTGATTCTCAATTAGGCATCTCTGGCCAATGATTATACAGTATCAGTCAACCGTGTGATGTGGAGTCCTGATGGAACTCTTTTTGGTATGTTTGCTGTCTTTACAATTTAGATGCCGGACAGTTTGTTGCACATACATTCCTGATAGTCCAGCATGTCAAGTTGAAAAGTTCAACCAAAATAGAAACTTATGCTTTTTTTATCTGATACTTTCTTCCTGCTTCAGGGGTTGCATATTCTAAACATATCGTGCAGTTGTATGCCTACCATAGTGGCAGTGATCTGCGAAATCACTTAGAGGTTTGTTCTAGTAATCAATTCCAATTGCATTAGGTCCATTGTGTTCTACACACCTAGAGTTTTACTTTGCTTCTCAATCAAAGTTACATGATATGGGCAGTAAGGAGGTATTCACTACCATTTTTTTTTCTTGCTTTTAGATTGATGCTCATGTAGGTAGTGTTAATGATCTAGCATTCTCTTATCCAAACAAACAATTGAGTATCATCACTTGTGGCGAGGACAGGGTGATTAAGGTTTGTTTTGTTTTCTCAGTAATTTAATGGACTGTATTTGTTGGATGTTAAGACCAAAATTTTGTAGGTCTGGGATGCTGCTACTGGAGTTAAACAGTTTACTTTCGAGGGTCATGAAGCCCCTGTGTATTCTATCTGCCCTCATCACAAGGAAAATATTCAGGTCAGAGAAGTAATAGATAACAGGATACAGTTCTAAGTTCCTTGTTTAAATTACCTTTCCTTGTCAATTCAAGAAGAAATAGTTAAGGTTATGAAATGAAAAAAGTCTATTCCATCCTTCTTCCCAAGTTTCCAGTGTTGCAATTATCGGGCCCAATGTGGCAGCTCACCACCTTGCCTTGGGCTACATAGTGGTGCCTGGGAAGCCCACCACCATCATTGCTCAACCAAAAGCATCATGGGTGATGGTGATTGGCAACGGAGTCGAAATCCCATTTTGAGCTTTCCAGGCAATGGCAGTGGTGGTGTGGTCATGGGTGAAGAAAATATTGTTAGTGGCTGGAGCACTAGATCTAGGAGGAGAGGGGGAGAAGGGAAGAGAGCAGGGAAGAAAGAGATGGTTGTTGCACTAGATGTGGAGCCTGATATCTGAGTTTCTATTAAGCTATATGTTTTTTGAATTTTTGCATTTACCCAAAGGAAAAAAAAATTTAAGGGCCTGATTCTTCTTCCCCTTTTTCATTTTTAAGTGTTAAATTTAATTTGAATTTAATATATTTATCTTTAATAATTAATTTTTAATTTGAATGAAAAGGCAAGCTTAAATCTAATATATATTCTTTTTTATATTTTTTTCATTTTTGCTTTTTTTGAAAAGGAAAAAAAAAAGGGCCTAGTGGCCTAGGCAACACTGTAAAGTTTCTTTTGTCAAAATTATTTATTTGAAGAAAAAGACCTTATACTAGGAGTAAATTATTATGTCTATAATAGCATGTTCTAACTTCTAACTCGATCAGTTTCTCTGAATCTTAATTCATAAACTCACCTGTCTGTATTTTGGTAGGTTTTCTGAGCCTAATATATGGCTTTCTAAAATCCATCAAAAGTCCAGGGCATTGAAGTGTGTATTAGTTTAAATATATATAATCCATTATAACTTTTGTTGCTCTTTTTTTTTTTTTTTTGAAATTTAAACATTTTGCATTTTGTCCCTGATTTATTTTTCTATATTGATGTATGAACTACTTGCTTTACTTTTTTTTTCTGCTAGGTTTTATTATTGACTAATTGTTGGTATCTCATGAGTGTGTCTACTAAGAAATCAGTCTCATTGTTCTTTCTTCCAGTTCATTTTCTCAACAGCAACAGATGGGAAAATAAAGGCTTGGTTGTATGATAATCTGGGCTCAAGAGTTGACTACAATGCACCAGGCCATTCATCTACAACAATGGCATACAGTGCCAATGGAGCAAGGTTCAGTTTGCATTCTACACTCCTGATTTTTCTTTATTGTTTAGAGGTTCATCTTTTGCTATACTTTTGTATCTTTAACCAAAATATTTCTCTCATAATTTACTGGCTACTGCTAGGTTGTTCTCATGTGGGACAAATAAAGAAGGGGAATCACACCTGGTGGAATGGAATGAGAGTGAAGGAACTGTCAAGAGGACCTATCTTGGTCTTGGGAAGCGATCTGTTGGCACTGTGCAATTTGATACCACTAAGAATCGGTTGCTGGCTGCTGGTGATGAATTTGCTATTAAAGTTTGGGACATGGACAACGTTAATCTATTAACAAGTATTGATGCAGATGGTGGATTACCGGTAATTCTTGGATATGCATCAGTTCATCATAGTATAACTGATTTAACTTCCTAACTACTAATTGACGTCTTTATAAAAAATTTGCAGGCTTCTCCCTGCATTAGATTTAACAAGGAAGGAATCTTGTTAGCTATCTCAACAGATGACAATGGAGTAAAAATTCTAGCAAATGCAGAAGGAATTAGGTTACTTCGGACAGTGGAAAATCGTACATTTGATCCATCTAGAGTTCCTCCAGCATCTCTACTTAAGGTAAGCCTTTTTTTTTTTTTTTTGGCTGTCAAGGTAAGCTTTTGAATTTGCAATTTTCTTCCTTTTTTTTTAATAATTTTGTGAATGTTTGCTGAATATCTGATTTATGTGTCAGGCTCCAGCTATTGCCATGTTTGGATCAGCCAATGCAACTGTTGGAACAAGTATTGGGGATCGGGCTGCTCCAGTGGCTGCAATGGTTGAAATGGTGAGTTATTCCTGCCATTGTTACTCAATTAGATTCATAATAACTAATTTTTCTTAAATCAACTAATCTTCTCTGTTAATTTTTTCAAGCTGTCATGCTCATGTTATGGGCATATTTTGGATAAGATAGTAGAAATTGTAAATTATCTAACCTGCTTCCTTTAAAGTCTCTGCAGAGCACTGATAATCGAAGTGTGGCTGATGTAAAGCCTAGAATCACTGATGAGTCAATGGAAAAATCTAGGATCTGGAAACTTACAGAGATCAATGAACAATCACAGTGCCGCTCCCTCAGGCTTCCTGATAATTTAAGACCTATGAGGGTAAGCTAAACTGTTTGAATCTTAGTGGAACTTGGTAACACTGGTTCACCAACACCATATATTATGAATTTCTAAAGTGGTTTCTTGTTCATATTTTTTTCATTATAAATTGAGTACAATTTATCTTCATGTCTGTTTCTGACATTGTCATAAATTTTTTCAGGTTTCTAGGCTAATATATACAAATTCTGGACTTGCCCTTTTAGCATTAGCATCTAATGCAGTACACAAGCTCTGGAAATGGACAAGAAATGATCGAACTGGAAAGGTATTCACAATCCTTTAATCTTTGTTGCCAGGTAGTTGTCTTACGAAATTTTTGGTAGTTTTTTGTTACTTGTAAGGATGATAAAAAAAACTTGTTAAAAGTAAGCTTGCCATTCACAACAATTTTGTATCTTGCAGTCGACAGCTAGTATAGTACCACAATTATGGCAACCTGCCCGTGGAATATTAATGACCAATGATACAAATGATGCAAACCCAGAAGATGCTGTTTCATGCTTTGCACTCTCAAAGAATGACTCCTATGTGATGTCAGCTTCTGGTGGTAAAATCTCCCTATTCAATATGATGACATTCAAGGTAAATGGTCTCTTTTCTATCCTCTTTGACTAGTTGGTTGTTTTCCTGGAAGCCAGATTTCTGATATAGATGCAAAGGTTAAAACTTTTCAATGCAAGATAAATGAACCAGGAAAAATTATTGATTGGCACTTCTAGGCAAAAAGGACCAAATCTAATGCTATTCTGCTAGGTCTTTAGTTAGAAACTGACTACCAAGATACTCTTTTATTTTTTCTTTTTGGCACAGTTGGGAGGAGTTTATGTTATGCTTTCATTACATTCTTTTTCTATATATTTGTTGTCATGTATCATGTTTACTCAACATGCAGACGATGACAACATTCATGCCACCACCTCCAGCAGCTACCTTTCTTGCATTTCATCCTCAAGACAATAATATCATTGCTATTGGCATGGAGGACTCATCTATCCAAATCTACAATGTTCGGGTTGATGAGGTCTTTCTAATTTACTTTATACTTTATTGACTGTGATGAATGACTGAAAGTGAGAATTTTGTTGACTGCATGATCAATTGTGACAGGTAAAAACTAAGCTAAAAGGCCATCAGAAAAGAATAACAGGTCTTGCCTTCTCACACACTCTTAATGTGCTTGTATCCTCAGGAGCCGATGCCCAGGTAAGAAATATCAGTCTCTACATCACATGCATACTTGTGTTTTCCAAAGTAATTCTGTGATCTACTATGAAGAATTCAAATAAAAGGCATTGTCCGATAACAATTGGCAAAATTTCCAATTTCAGTCATTTCTGAAAAGATAATGATAATCATCTTTTCAACTCATGTCATTCCTCTGCCAATGTTTCTGTTGTTTACCTTACTGTTGGAAACTAAGAGGTTGTTTAGTACAGAGGCTTGGGGTTAGTAGTTAGTGGTTTGGACTAATCGGATGGATAAGAATTTTTGGATTATAAAAATAATAACTATCAGTTATTGGATATTGGCTATCTGTTATCCATTGCATTTTAACTGCTAATCCAAACACCCTCTAAATAGTATATTTCATGTCTTTCAACACCACCTTATGCACCAATCTGTTGCAGGAAAGTATAGTACTTTGCATCAAGGAACTAATAAGCCATTTTTATCTCCTTATTCTTCCACATTCCTCCTGTCCTACAGCTGTGTGTCTGGAGTACAGATGGATGGGAGAAGCAAACTAGTAAGTTCTTGCAAATCCCAACTGGGCGAGTTGCATCTCCCGTTGCAAATACCCGTGTTCAGTTTCACATGGATCAGGTACTTTTGCTGGCAGCTCATGAAACGCAGATTGCTATATATGAAGCACCAAAACTAGAGTGCCTAAAGCAGGTATTCCATCCAGCCTATTACATATTATATTTGAACTTTTACAGCATTGCCCATAGCCATATCTACATTTCTTGACAAGTATAGTTCATTTTCTGTATCACCCATTTGATTTTTACTTTTTCCCCAAGTATCACCCATGTGATTTGGGAGTTAGTAAATTAAGGTTTCTGATATTATTGTGAGCTTATTTTCTTAAACAGTGGGTTCCTCAAGAAGCAAGTGGTCCAATAACATGTGCTACATACTCCTGTGATAGCAAATCAATATATGTGAGCTTTGAAGATGGAAGTATAGGCGTTCTTACTACAACCCTAAGACTGAGATGTCGAATAAATCCTGCTGCTTATCTATCTCCCAACCCAAGGTGCTTTTTTTATTTTTTTATTTTTTGACAAGAAAACATTATAAAACTTTGTTTATTCTTAAAATAAGTTATAAAACCTTGCCATTATGTATGGCTTATTTTTGTTTGATTCTTCTGACATTGACCTTTTGACAGCTTGAGAGTTTATCCTCTTGTCATTGCGGCACACCCATCTGACCCTGATCAATTCGCATTGGGACTTAGTGATGGTGGAGTCTGCGTACTTGAGCCATTAGAGCTAGAAGGAAAATGGGGCACTTCTCCTCCCGTTGAAAATGGTGCAGGGCCAAGTTCCACTTCAGGTGCAACTGGTTCAGAACAACCCCAAAGGTGACAAATCCGCATGCTGGTCTCATGGTAACTGCCTTGAGTACACATCTCTTGAATGTTGTCCTGCTTCTCGGTCCCATTTTAATGTGATTTTTGAGGTCAAGCTCTGAAATTTAGTTTAAAATCTAAATATAGTTTAAAGCGGGATGACAATTGTTTGTAGCCGAAGGCATGATATTATTTGGTTACCTTTACCTACCAATTTGTTGTGGTTGGACATCTGACTATGTGGACTTGAAAAGTTAATGATGATCAGACATATTGGTTTAACTGGAAATGCTGTTATTCAATTCCATTATTCCTTTTATTTTACAGGCCTGGTGATCTTATAATTATCATCCTTTTTTTTAATTGTCAACCCAAGCGTAAGCAAGTTATTTATAATATTTACCCCCAGGGCCTTGGTATGTACTTGGATGCTGATGCAATGGAGATACCATTTCCCTGAGACTAATATGTAGCTATAATATTGTCTAACGGAAAAATGTTTTATAATTTAAATTATTTTGAATTATAAAAAATTACTCTTTGTATAAGAAAAGGGTTTTTCAAAAAAGTTATTTATAATTTCATAGCACTAAGTATGATACTAATTAAATTTCGGTTAAATTAATATTTATTAATTTAAAAATATTAATATAAAATTAAAATCAAATATTTAAATCTCACAATTTATCCTCTAAAGTTAAAAAAAAAAAAAAAAAAATCACTTAGCATATTATTGGGGATCTGCTCACGCCATATGGAGCTATAATAGTACAGCTTGTCTTGAATTCTTTTATAATTTTATATTTAAGATAGAGAAATCGAAAAACAACAATAAAACGAATA